CCAGCACTCCACACGGGTAATGCTGCTGAGATAAACCTTTCTGTAACACAGGACGTGCAGCAGAGTGCCCAGCACTGAGGCGAGGGCTCCACTGCTCATAAACCCCTGTGTCAGCAGTTTCCAGAGACATTCTCAATGAATTAGCAGGATCTGGCTGTATGGCAATGCTGCAAAAAACCCCAGAGGATTAACTGATCTACTGAGGCAAGAAATTGGGAAGTGCTGAGGAAGCAGCTGTGACCCAAGGCAACTGCAGATCCCTCAGTCTGGTTTTCCTGGGATGAATGTGTAGCTACATCTCCTGAGCCCAGCAGCACAGTGTGGCCAGGAGCTGGCACCAGCACATCCTTAGTGGCTCACCATCACCCCTGGACACCCTGCTGCTCTCACCCGGCCAGGGGCTGTCCAGGAACAGCACCTGCTGCTCTGAGACTTCCTGCACACACAGAACAAGCTGTGCAAGTCTCACAATTCTGCTTAGTCAGGTCACCAAGATTTTTAAATTCAGCTGGGAGCCAGGATTGTTACCCTGTACCAACTGCAGGCCATGAAGGTGTTGTGCCAGGCCGGCAGAGAACCACCCCAGGGAAGAGGTGATGCACAGCTGCCCCTTTTTAGCTCTTTGTGCAAGAAATCTGCCAGCAAAGGAAGCGTGTGGATCTGCCAGGAAATCCCTGCAGCGCCTTCAAGCTAACTAACAAGCTGCCAAAAGAAAGGTCAGCTGGAAATTACAGCCAGCTCCCTGCACGAGTTCAACTCAGGTACAAGGAGAGAACAAAAAAACCCAAAAGTCTACCTTTGCATGCACAACCCTTCCACGGGGCAAGAGCTGTGTGTGCAGCTGGAGATGCAGGGAAGGGACAGCCCCATGGGGGTACAGGCACATGATGGACCTGCTCCCCTCCGGCTGAACAAGGGCAGAGCCACAGCAGGGAGGGGGAGAGGAGCAGGAGGCTCTGCAGAGCTGAATCACTCCATTATATTGGATCAAGAGAAGCAGCTCTGTGTCCCAGAGCAGCGGGTACAAGCAGTGCCATTCTGTGCTCGCTGCCACTTGATCCCTGCACTGCTGACACCTACAGAAACCCAGCAGCCCCCACCCCTCTCGCATTTCTTTGCAAAAGGAAAAACCAACACCAGCGAGCAATCAAAGTCCAAGTGGGAAAAGTAAATACCCTCTTAGCCTTTCCTCCAAGAAACAAGTAATGACACCCCTGGGAGGCCTGGGTGGGCTGAGTGAGTGACCTCTGCAGCACAGCAGCCTCTCCAGCAAACAGAGCAGTGAGAGGCTCCAGAGCAGCTGGCACACTCCACACTTCCCAGCAGCTTTTATGTAAAGAGCCCGAGTTCATTAAACCATGGCCTGTGTGTGATTGCCAAGGCTACAGCACAATCCCCTGCAGCCTCCAGCTCCTGCCCAGCCCCACCCCAGGCTTTCCCAGAGCACAGAGGATGATGTCCTGCTTGAGTGGGGACAAGCCCTGAGGGGAGCAGGGTCCTCTGCAGCAGCACTCACCAACCTGCTCCAGTGGCACAGGCAGCTCCTCCACACCCTGTTCCAAGGTGGGGAGAGAAAAATGCCTTAAATAAGTGCCAAAGTGGGCATCTGGGTTATTTCAGGGCCTGCTTCCTTTTTCATGCAGTGTACAGCCTTAAGAAAAAACCCAAAGCAGTGTGCAATACTGATGCCACAGAGGACGAGCTGCCCCCTCACTTATTTCAATGCAAAGGTGAGTGGGAGGAGAAGTGTGGAGTCACTCTTAGAGGCTTAAAGAGCAATCTGAGCCTCGACAGTTTTGCAAACCTCCTCTCCCCTTCCCCCCACGTGTCCCCAAAGAGCACAGATGGGTGTTTTTGAAAGTTACTGCTCAGGATGTGGGAAGGCACAGAGGGAGGCAGGCTGTTTTTCAGGCTGAGCCTGCCTCCCTGCACCCACCTCCACAGGTGCCAGCACAGCAGTGGCACCACTGGAGCTGAGCCACTCACCAGGGATGGGAAAGACAGAGCCCCGTTCTCTGTGTGGCCTTGGGGACACCTGGGATCCTTCCTCAGCCCAAGCCAGGGCCATCAGACTGCATGAGACCCCTTCAAGAGAGCTGGGGTCGGCGTCAGAGGACAGCCTGGAATCACCTCCTGCCTCAGGACACAGCCTGCCTGCCAGTTTCCACCCAGTAAGGACATGCTGCTCCTCCTTACCTTTTTTTTTTTAATGCACTTGTTCAAAAAGAGACTACAGCATTGCTGTAGTGGGGGGAAGGCAGGAACATAAGAGTCCTCTGAGGCAGAAGCAAATTCCTCCCTTTCCTCAACTCATTCTCAGGCAGTGACATCCCCTGTGTGGATAAGGCCTCCGGGGCCATGGCAGGAAGGGAAGGCAGCCCCTCCACCTGCCACCAGGCCTCCACAGCCCTGCCCTCCCTTCTGCTGTTTGCTGCTTGCTGGGAGAAGCTGAGGTGGGCACACCCTCACCTGGAATAAGCAGCATGGATTCACCCTGGGGGGGTTTTGCATGATTTCTATTCATCTGCAGGACCATACCAGATGCCACCACAGCAACCTTTGCTCACAGTGTTCTGCCATGAGTGGCTGCTGGTGCTGGCCAGGGAAGGAGCTGTGTGCTGGCAGTGTGGGCCAGCAGCTGGGCTGGCCTCATGCTCCTTTAGGAGTCCTTGCTTGGAAATCCTTCCAGCTCCCCTAACTCACCCTAACCCTGGGCTCCTGCCATCACCATCAGTGACCTCACCACCCCATGCCCCAAGAGCCAGCAGTCCTGCCTGCCTCAGTTTCCCCTCCCAGCCAGGTCAGCCCTGCAGGGAGGCACCCAGGGAACACCCACATGGGACACTCCGTCTGTCTGCAGCTCCTTCGTGCTCTTTTCAGGAAAGGCCAGGACAGCTGAGAGCTATTCCTGGAAAGCCTAAAAACGCCACGGCTGAGTCAGGCTCTGCCTGCACAAGGCCACCACAGGGCTCCCCCAGCACAGCCCTGCCACTGCCTCACTGCAGGGCTGAGCTTGCCAGGACACTGTGCTGCCAGCAGCTCCTCAGAGGAGGCAGACAGACAGACAGACAGACAGACAGACAGGCACAGAGGCAGGGACATGGAGGAGCAGCCCAGTCCCTCTGCTCTGCAGCCCAGACACGCATCAATGTCACAGGGAGGGCTGTGACAGCAGGCAGCTCTCTCTGGCCCTGTGCTGCAGGCTGGAGCAGTGCCAGCCCCCAGGGCTTCTGTTCCACATCCCTGCAAGCCAGCACAGCAAATGAAAGGGTCAAATTCAAAGCCATCTCTGCTGGTGGACTCGGGTCCAAAGGCATCATTGGCAATGTCCCATCTCCATCCCATTGCTCCCCTCTCCATCCTCCCAGGGGCCCAGCTGTCCTGTCTGAATGCAGACATGGGACAAACCTGCAAGTTCAGGGCAATGATTCCTGAGCACGAGGGGCAAATCGCCCTTGGTTGCAATCCCACATACACAAGGACTGCTCATCCTCTCCCTCTCTCTTCCCTGCAGCTGGGAATGAGGCTGAGAACTCCCAGCAGCTGGGTCCACACAACTTTGTGGACACAAAAAGCTAAAGAGCAGAGGTCAGTGACTGTACCAGCACACTGCTTCACACTAACTGCTGATACCTGGGCTGGGCTTTCCTCATAATCTCACTGAAGTGTGCAAGGCAGGACAGGAACACCACCACTACACACCTCAGCTTCAAATCACACAACTCCACAGGGACAGATTTTTCCCTTCAATTCCCTACACCTAAAGTAAGTCATGCACTGCTGTTTCTTGCCTCACCTGCCTGCGGCTGTGGCAGCTCTGGGAGACCTCAGCTGGCCCATTCAGTCCCATTCACAGCCCAGGCTCATGGCTCTGTGACCAGCTCCAGTGCAGAGCCAGCAGCCCAGCCTTGCTGCCAGCCCCAGGCACCCTCTCAAGGCTGGCAGAGCCTGTGACACCAGTGGGTGACAGATAGCAGCACTGCAGTGGGAGGTATGCAGGAGTCTGACATCCACAGACATCCACAGCCAGGCTCTCTGTGCTCAGCACATCCAGAATGGGGCAGGAATGTTTCCCATTGCCCTCTCAGGCAGTTTATCTCTGACTGCAGCCCCCAGGCCTTGAGCCAAGAGCCAGCCCAGCCAACGGTCTCCCTTGGCAGGGGCCTGGGAGCAAGCAGCACTCTCACCAAGTTGCTGTGAGGATGAGCTCAGTCTCCCTTCGATGCTGAAAGCTCTGCTTGGAAAGTTGCTGAGCTAGCAGAAACTGCCATTTCAGTTTTACCCATTTCCTGTTATTAGATAAAAGTATCAGAGGGCTGAACTCCTGAGGGCTTTTGCCATGTTCCTGTTACAGCCACTGCCTTCAGCAGGTGAATACTGGCACATCTTGATTTCAACAGGAGCCAGGGCACAGCATGAATTATTTGTGGTAAGGCTGACCTATTTAACAGCAGAAAGACAGCTTTCATTCAGGCCCAGATCCCCCAGAGGCTGCTGGTGTCACTTTACCCACAGGACAATACAACCCCATGGCTATCTATGTCCATCTCACTGGGAGCAGGGGTAACTGTTCTAGGTGATCCTGCCATGCTCCCAGCACTTCTCCTGGAGCACAAGTGACACCTCCACATCCCTTTCAGAGCAAACCACTGACTTCTGCTGAGCAGCTTTGATCAGTGTTTTGTGATCACCACAAACACACGTGGGAAGCAGAGCAGGGTGAATCCACAGAGCCTTGAAACAGAGAGCAGTCCCCATGACAGCTCTGCTTCAGGGCCAGAGGCAGTGTTTGCAGGTCTGCCAAGTTCTGCTCAGGATCCTTCCCTGCACAGCTCCTGCTAAGCTCTTGGAGTCTCTAATCCTGGCTCCCATCCTCTGTGCCCAGGCCAAGGCAGCCTGTGAGGGGTATTTGACACTGAGGGGATGCTGAAGTCTTGGTGATACATTTGTGTAAAGCTTCTCCAAACCACAGCTCGGCACCAGGCCTTTGTGGACTGTACCTTTGTCTGCCAGGGACAGCGTGCTGTTGAAGTACTGCTCCTCCACAGTCCATGCCGTGTCATTGATCTTGTTGGAGACCCCACAGGATCCAATGCAGCTCACCTTGATGGCTGTGGAGAGACAGAACACGTGTCAGCACTGGGAGAAAGCAAAACCTCACTTTCAGACTTGCTTCAGGTACTGTATTGTGCAGGAGCAGTGCCTCACAAAAACACACACAGGGTGGGAAAATGGAGCAGAGGAATCAGGTCATGCTTTCATTCCAAAAGTATGTTTTCTAGCACTCCCAGCACAACTGAGCACTCCCTGCTACCCCAGTGCTATTCCTAGATATTACCAGCTTTGAAATCCTCGAGGTGGTTTCCTTGCACTGTGGAAGCAGTGACTGCAGCTCCCTGACAGGTAAACCTCTCCCAAATGAAGCAGTGTTCCCTCCCAAAACATGCACCAGCCTTGGCACTCTGGCTGAGAGCAGAAGCCTTGGGTGTCACTGTCCAGACAAGGATGAGCAGCCAAGGATTCTGCTGCCTCCAACCCCACAGGGAGCCAGGTATCCCAGTAAGTGTCTCACCATCCCTGGGAGGAGAGACATGTTTGGCACAAGCTCATTAACCAGCTGAACAAGGGGTTCAAACAGCCCTGTCTGGAGCAGCAGCAGAGAGCTGGACCCCCCAGTGCAGCCTGGACAAGCCCTCTGCTGCTTGAATTCACAGCCCTGTCACCCTCAGAGGACATTCCCAGCTCCTGGGAATCTGCTCCCAGCTCCTGGGATCAGTCTCAGCTTCAATGGCTTGCAGCCAAAGCACTTTGCCCATTAACACTTGTCCTGCATCAGGACCTCCAAAATGTCCATATACACGTCACTTCCCAGCCAGACACCAGCTCTGAGGGAGTGGTTTCCTCCTCTGCTGGAGACACAGGGTTCAGTGAAACCATACAGGAAGGTCTGGAAGCATCAGATGCCATCTGACCCTCCCAAAAGCAAGGACAGTAATTTGAGCTATGTTTGTGCCTTGCCCCAAGAGCTCAGCCTGCAGCATGGCTCAGGAGAGCTACGTGGCCCTCACAGGAGCTCCCCACAGATATTTTCAGCTAGTCTTGGCCAATACTCAGCAGATTGAAATGAGATCCTGATGTCGACACCGGACCACAGAGAGAGACAAAAGTGACTGACTGGCCTTACTGCATAGCAAGAGATGATCTGCATTGCTACCCCCATGCAGGGAGGACACAGGCAGACCTATCATGGTACAAACAGAGCCCCCAGGGCTGTCCAAGCCTCAGCATCTCCCACCTGAATCCCATCAAGTTTTGCAAGAGCTTACCTGGAGCCCACAGAACTCTCTTACCCCATTTGCCAGGTGAATAGTTCTGCTGGCAAAGGTGACAGGATCCATCAGACAGACTCTTTGCCTGTTTGACCCATCTGCTCCCCCATATTCCAGCTGCATCCACAGGAAGAATCTCCCTGGGAAGCAGATGGCCAGTTTGCTTTGGCTTAGGAGCTCTCCCCCTCCCCTCCTGTTCTCAGCCCTGTTGATATCAACACCTCCACCCACCTACCCAAACACTGAGGGCTGCAAGACATTGCTGCTTGCAACCACCTCAAACAGCTCCCCAGAGCATCTGCCTGGCCAATGCCACCTTGTTCCCAAAGCTGACTCGAGACAGGGTGAAAAGAACCCCAAATCCAGCCCTCTCTGCAGGGGCAACACATTGCTCTGAACCCAGTGAGGGACAGTCTTGCAGTTAGGTGGAATGAGCTCCTCAGGGCTTAAAGTCTGAAATCCCATAAGGAAGAAGAGCAGCATCTCCTGCCATCAGCTCTCCTGCCATACCCTCACAGCTGATCATGACTGTGAGATGAAGAGCCCCTTGCAGTCCAAGTGTTGTTCAACATTCAAGGACAGAGGATAAGCAGCTCCAGATGTCAACTCTCATTAACCAAACATCAATAGAGCAGCGAGGCTGGCACATCTCTGGCTTGTTTGTGTTTGTGATGTGCTTGGGCATTTCCAGGGCAGGGAAAGAACAGGATAGCATGGCCTGGGATGGGAGCTGAGCACACCTGAGCAGACACAGGTGCCCTCCCGAGGTGAACCATCACAGTGAACCCTCCACACATCCCTAGAGGCATACAATACTCTCTCCTGCCAGGTGGCAGAGCCAAACCCACGGAAGGGCCTCAGCATCAGAAGCAGGAAAGGTGTCCTGTGTATCTACACATTGGTGCCATGCTCCCACCTCAGACATATTGCCACATCTCTGGGCTCACAACAAGCCTGTCCCACTCTGAATTAGCCCACATAACACAGATGGATCCAGTCAAATCAAGCCTAGACTCACCTGCTTTTCTCACAGGAGATAAGAGCATGAAAAGCCCAACCAAAACCCGGAGAACATTCACATCCTTCAGGAGCACCAGCCCCTGAGCAGGCTCCCCCTCAGCTTCCCTGCACCACAGGAGTTTACAGATCACTCCCCTGCACCACAGGAGTTCACAGATCACCACCATCTGTTCAACACCCAGATAAGGGGCTGACAGACTCTGATTCCAGCCTGATGCTGCACTGGGGTGTGGAGGCTCTCTTGTTCCAGGGAGGCAGGTGGGTGGGAATGCTCAGGAACACACACTGTGGCCCAGCTCCCTTCCCACAGCACACAGGCTCAGCAAGCAAAGGCAGTGGGTTTGCAGTGTGACACTCAGAGCCAGCCCATGGCTGGGGCCCTGCTGCCATGGACAAGCACTAGGGCTAAAGTCAGACCGTGTCCAAGAATCCCTCTACAGCTTGCTAAGGAGTTTTCCAGCACAGGAGCTGTCAGCTCCAAGGCTTCCCAATTAACCACTGACATCCCAAACTGTCACAGTCACAGCCAGCCTGTGCCTAGAAAGGAGGGACAGTCCCTGGAGGGATTGCTCCGGGACTCCAAGCAATTCCAGTCCTTCAGCCCCACCAAGCCCTCTCCAGCCAAATTCCCTGACCATCACACACCCTGGGATTGCCATTCCAACCCCAAGCAACAGAAAGCAGCATTTCAAGCTGAGAAGTTTGAAGGGATTTCACTTTCCCCTTCCCTCTATGCTCCTCAAAGTTCCCAGTGTCCCCTCACCAGACACACTTAGGACAAGCCTTGGAGAAGTTCAGGGCTCTGTTATGGAGCATCTTCTCCAACTTGCTCCAGACACATGAGTGCCCCCCACCTCATTAGGGAAAAATGGGGGGGACAATAGCTCTGAGCTATTGCCCCACAGCTGACACAGACTGGACACAAGGATTGCATATCCCACCTCACAGACTCCTGGAGGAGCCAGCAGATCCCCAGGCCCCTGCAGGGTGGGTGATGCTGGAAGCAGCAGGTCCAGGACAGCCAGAGCACCCCAGTTTCATCCCCAGAGCAGGAAAGACTGGCAGCTACAGGGTCAGGTTATTTGGGAGGTTTCAGAGGTGCCTGGTTCAACAGATCAAACCATTCATCTCACTCCTAACCAGGTTTTGGAACAGTGAACCATAAAAATCAGCCTCTCCATGAGCATCCCATATAGAGGGGGAGATACTGGGGACTTGCCTGGCTCTCTCTTGTACAGGCTCCTGCCCACAAACAGGAGGAGGGACAGGGGTGTGTGACAGGCACAGCTCAGGCACGTGGCTCTGGGGGCAGCTGGAACTTAAAAATGGCATTGTCAGGACAGGCCTGGCAAAACCAGCACCATCATAGCTGGTGCAATGGAGCCACCTGAGCACAGAGCTTGTCAGCCTGCCTGTCAGGAAGCAAAATGAACAGTATGAGCCTTTCCAAAGAAATCTTGGAACTGCCAAGCTGTAGACAGAGGAAATAAGAATAGTTTCTGCATCAGAATAGGCAAGTTCCAGTTCTTAGAAACCCTTTAAAAATGCCTCTGGAATCCAGCACTACCAGTGGCCCCAGTCACCTCCCTCCTGCTCCCTGTTTACCCACGCTGATTTGCATAAATACAGGAAAAAAACAAAGTCCAAAAACTGTAAGGGGAGTGGAAGGGGGAGGCAAAGAGAAGAAATGAATGAAGCCATGCAGAAGGCAAGAGCCCTTCACCCCTGCAGTCCCTCGGGGACTCAGGGAAGCAGGCAGCCCCGCATCCAGCCAGACACATCTTTAGCAACGCGCCGCAGCACGCGCCAAATGCTGGAAATAAAAGGAGACAGCTCAGCCATATCCATCTCTGCACAAAGTAAAAATAGAGATGCCAGGAGCTGGGCACGACTGCCTTCTTCCAAGGTGATTTAAGGAGAGCAGCCATAGATTTCAAACTGCTTTTTCTCCTGACCCAGTGAGTTTCCCTGCTCGGGGGAGCTGGCGTGGCACCTCGGGCATGAGGAAAGCGCAGCACAAGCATCCCGTCCTCTGCCAGGGGCAAGGTGTGTGTGCACATCCCTGCTTCCAAAATCCAGCCACATGCTGAGCAAGCACAGGCTCAATGGTCACCTTGCACTCAGCCCCAGTCCCAAGCAAACGCCTCTGACTTCAAATCCCACCTATGCCACACACCTGCCACAGCAGGTACGGGCAGAGGGAGGAGGCTGCTGCGTCTTGGTCAGTTTGGGTTTTCTAGGCTGGGCAGGAGAAGCAGCACAATCAGTTCATAGATTCACTGAATACCCTGAGCTGGAGGGACCCACAGGATCACCCAGGGCAGCCCCTGTCCCTGCCCAGACCCCCCAACAATCCCAGCCTGTCCATCCCTGGCAGCGCTGTCCAAACGCTCCTGGAGCTCTGGCAGCCTCGGGGCCGTGCCCATTCCCTGGGGAGCCTGGGCAGTGCCCAGCACCCTCTGGGGGAAGAACCTTGCCCTGAGCTCCAGCCTGAGCCTGCCCCTGACACAACCTGACACAGCTGGGGATGGTGGCTGTTGCAGTTGGCAGCAGCTCAGGCAGGACAAACAGACTCTCTCGTCATTCCCCTTCCTCTGCAAGGACGGACACAGAGCTGGCAGCCAAGCTCTGAAATGGCACTTACAAACAGCCCTGGGATTTTGCCAGCTGAAGCTTACCCGGGTCACCATGTGGTCACCCAGAGGCTCCAGCCGTCCCTGCTGCAGGGAAGGAGGGGCCCAGCCCTGCACACGTGGGATGAG